TCGACGATGGAGGCTTGTGGCGCTTGGCTTTCAGGGTGTGTGAGGCTCTCTGGGAAGAGAGGCCGGCGCCTCGCTCTGAAAATCGGGAGCAGGAGATCTGAGGGAGGCCTTGCTCGTTAATTTTTTTGGCCAGAGGAGCGAGGTTTGGCCATCCCTGGCTGTGCTCAGGACTTATTCCTGGCCCTGTGCTCAGGGTCACAGCTGGCGGTGCTCAGGAGACTATATACAGTGCTGGTGATCAAACCAGGACCCGCCACGTATGAGCAACTGCCTTAACCCTGTCCTGTGTCTCCGACCCCTCATGTGCGTGTTTTAAACACTGCAGATGTTTTGGATGGGCAAGACAGGGTTTTGGTCCCCGATACGACTGGAAGCAGCCCCCAAGCACTGAGCTCAGAATAGCTCCTAAGCACAGCACTGCAGCTGTGCCTCCAAACATCAGGTGAAAAGGCAGTCATAGTAGCGAATGAATGTTTAGGCCACGAGAGAATGAAGAGCCAGGTGATAAGTTGGCCTAGAGATGTTTTTCCTTAAATCGGACAGAGTATCCATAGCTTGACTTTAAGTGGCCTCCTGTAGCATGATTGGGCAGCCTTACACCACTCGGGGTTATGAAAATGAATGCAAAGTGATTCCTTTCGTGCCCTGTTGTCATATTGATATTTTCAGAATTGACCAAAGTCTCTGGATTAATATTTCCAGTATCCCGACTGTCTTCTTTCTCGGAAGAGCTTTGTGAAGTGCCAGTGTGCCCGTTGGCAGCCGAGACCCAGAGCAGGGTCGAGGGCCCCGGACTTTGGGGATGGCCATGTGCGGCCAGGGAACTGGGCCAGAGCCCCTCAGCACCCCGCCGTGGCAAGGAGAGTCTCTCACACGAGGGTCTCTTCCTTGTCCATCCGAGCCTTGGGAAGCCCCAGAGGCCCCGGGTACTGCCAGTCTGCCTCAGTCAGGATGGGGCTGCCTCCCTGGTGCCCCCCAAGTTCAGGAATTGCCCCTCACCTGGAATCACCTTGGTTTCCTGTGGGGGCAGGGTTTGATGATGCCACCTGCCCCTCCACCCCCACCCCCCCCCCCCCCGCATTCATCAGGCCTCCTCTGGGAGAAGAGAGGGGGAGCAGGTTGCCCGTAGCGCCTCTCAGGTCTCACCCGTGTGGCCTGGGGAAGGTGCTGACACGGGGTTATCGGGGTCCCATCGGCTGCTTCCTGGGGGGGGGGGGGAAGAGCTGGATTGGCCACGAAAGCATCCGGGATGGGGATTTGCAGGAGGGTCTCAGTGAAGCTCTTTACTCTGGCTGGTGCTGGCTGCCAGGCGGACACACTTCGCCAGCTGCTAGTTTAGGTAGGGGTGGCCCTTGTGAGGGGTCCCGAGCTGTTGGCCATTCCAGGAGCGCGTGTTTCATGGGGAAGGAGGCTGCTCCTTCGGCCAGGGACAGTGCAAGAAGGGACCCGGCTGTGAGCATGGCAGGGGGCGTTCTGTACCCCAGAAGCCAGCAATGGAGCTGAGACCCCTGCAGGGGCTCCTGTCACTGCCTAGGGAGCAGCTGGGGTCCTCCCCCATCCCATGGCGTGGTCTCTGCTGGTGGCCTTGCAAGGGGTGGGGCCTGCATACCTCTTCAGAGGGGGCCTCCTGTCAGCCTGCCAGCCTGCTGGGGTAGGGCAGGAAGGGATGTTTCCACAGCAGTTGGGGACCTGGTGTGCCAGGGACCCGCCATTCCTTTTGTTCTTTCGCTGTGGTGACTCCTAGACCACGGTGGCATGTCATCGAGCTTGGGAAGCGCCATGTTAGACTGCCGTGCTTCCCAGCCATTGTCACACCCCCTCCCTCCCGCACCCGCGACGTGCAGTCATGCCTGCTGTGTGTCTGGGGGAAAGGGGCTCCCGACCCCCCAAGGGTCCTTTGTAAACGCCCCCTCTCTTCCTGCCGTCTAGCCTCGGAGCACTGTTGTCTGGGTGCCTCGCTCCTCCTCTCCCCGCCCCCCACCCAGGCTGCCTGGAAAGGGGTCCCCGCCCGCTAGCCCTCGCGGTGGGGAGGACAGGCGAGCCTGTGGGCCCCCAGGGAAGGAGGTGTCCACAGCCAGTGCTGTTTTCTTGACCGTCTCCAGCTTCTCTAGGGTCTTTGTTGCTTTGGTTTTGGGGTCACATCCGGCAACGCTCAGGGATGACTTCTGGCTCTGCAGTCAGGAATCACTCCTGGCGGTGCTCAATGCCCTGCCCACTGTGCTCTCCGTCCAGCCCCTCCTCTGCTTTTACTAAACAGTGCCCCGCCTCCGATGAAGAAGCGGACGCCTCCAGGCACTGAGCCTGGCCACAGGGGGTGGCCGGAAGGTCAGTCCGAGTCTTTGCTGACCAGGATTGTGGGGGCCACGGCCAGGGATGCTCAGGCCGAGGCGTTGTTTCCAGGCGTTGGCCAAGGGAATAGGTGAGAAGGAAGTCACCCCGGAAGAGTGACCCTTCTGTACCAGAAGCACTGGCCCCTGACTTGTCACACTTCGTCCCTGTCACGTCCAGCCCAGAAACCAGTTTCCACGTGGCCTTGGGACCACCGGGCATCATTTTGCGGAGAGTGGCCTGGGCTTGGGTTCTGCCTGTCTGAGGACAGGGGACGCTTCTCTTGTCTCTCTGGAGCCTCCCGCTCGGGGTTCGTGGCCGTCTGGGGTGAAGGCTCGATGCGGGGCCGGGGCCGTGATGCTGGGGGTGTCCCAGCCCCCCCCAGCAGTTCCTGGACGCCTCCAGCATCACACCTGGTCATGCCTGGGGGTTGAGCCCCGGCTGGGCACATGGAGGCCTGGGTCCTCGTGCTGTGCCCCCAGCCCTGCAGTCCCCAATTCCTGCCTTCTTTTCCTGTTTCTCCTATAACTAAAATCTAGTTATAGTTTTTCTGGGACGGGGCGCACTCCTGGCAGTGCTCAGGCTTCACTCCTGACTCTGTGCCCAGGGCTCATGCCTGACTCTGTTCAGGGATCACTCCTGACTTTGCTCAGGGCTCACTTCTGACTATGCCCAGGGATCACTCTTGACTCTGCTCAGAGGCCACTACTGGCTTTGTGCCCAGGAGTCACTCTTTTTTTTTTTTGCTTTTCAGGTCACATCTGGCGATGTTCAGGAGTTACTCCTGGTTTTGCACTCAGGAATCATTCCTGGCAATGATCAGGGGACCATATGGGATGCTGGGAATCGAACCCGGTCGGCCGTGTGCAGGGAAACGCCCTACCCACTGTGCTATCGCTCCAGTCCCCCCCCCTTTTTTTTTTTTTTTGCTAGGTGTCACTCTTGACTCTGCTCAGGGATCACTCCTGGTGGGGCTTGGGGGACCATAGGCGGTGCCAGGGATCAAGGCCAGTGTCCTGCCCACTGTCCTATCTCTCCGGTCCCTCTCCTGTTTCTTTCGGTGGGTGAGTGGGCTGCTCCACCCTGACCCCCAGTCCAAGGGAGCTGCCGACGTGGACCCTTCGCAGTGGCAGAAGCTCTCCTGGCCGTAGCACAGAGATGCCAGGGCCCCTGGGCCTCTCTCCGGGGGAGCCTCGCCCTCCCTTAGGCCAGCGGGTCCCCATTACTTTTTTTAGGCACCGGCCTCTTGTGATTATACTTGCAGATTTTTTCCTGTGTTTTTTTTTCCTTCTGTGTAATGAACATTTCTCTCCTAATTTAACATTCTGTTCTTTCTTTGCTCTCCGAGAACTGTCAGCGCTTACTCTGTTTTCCACTAGAGACCCTTTCTGGCCTCCTTCATTCACTCAGCCTTGCGTGTTTTTGCCAGCGTGTTCCTGCGTGAGCCGGGTTTATCTTGACACCGAGACCCCTACAGGCACGGAAACGGGACTCCAGGGAAGCTGCTCCCTGCGCCTCGTTAGGTGTAAGCGGGGCCCCACGCTAGTGCGGAAGCATCCCGGAGCGTCCACGCCGTGCTCCACGCTCGCCCCGGGGCCCTGAGGGCACCTGAGGCTCTTCGCAGCGATGTCCCCCGAGCGAGCCGAGCCCAGCCGAGCGGTGTCTGCAGGGCAGGGCTGTCCCTGTCCCAGCACTTCCCGTGTCTGTCCCGTGTGTGCGGGCCCCGTGTCTGTCCCACGTATCCAGAACCCGTGTCTCTCCCGCGCGTGACGGGCCCCGCGTCTCTCCGTGCTCCCGCTTGTTGTGCTCCTTATCTCCCACCACCTCTTACCTCACCCCTCGTTGCTGACCCAGAGGCGGGCGAGCTCTCGTTTCTCCGGTTCGTGAGTGACGCTGGAGAAGAGCAGCTTGCTTTGTCCTGGCTCCCCGCTGCCCTGCGCATGCCCGGCACATGGGGGGTGGGGTGGGGGGGCTGCGTGCTCCCTGCGAGGGTGTCCAGCACCCTAGGGGCGGGGGACGGGCAGCAGAAACCTCCGTTTTGGGGTCATACCGATGGTGCTCAGGGCTTACTCTTCTTTATTTTTTCTTTTTGGGTCCTACCTGGCGATGCACAGTGGTTCCTCCTGGCTCTGCAGTCAGGAATCACTGCTGGCGGTGCTCAGGGGACCCTCTGGGATGCTGGGGGATGGAACCCAGGTTGGCCGCATACAGGGCAAACGCCCTTCCTGCTGTGCCATCGCTCCAGCCCCTCGGGGCTTACTCTTGACTCCGTGCTCAGGGATCACACCTGGCAGTGCTTGAGGGACCATATGGGGTGCAGGGATCGAACCTGGGTCTGCCAAGTGCAAAACAAGCACCCTGCCTCTCCGGCACCTGCGTCCACACTCTCTGCTGTGTTCGTCGCCCTCACCTTCTTCCTGATGCTGCACTTGGGGGTCCTGGACGGCCCTCCCTCGGATCGTGGGGGGCAGTGTGTCTGCAGAACTGGGGTCTGTCCCTCTGGTGTTGAGGAGCCGCGAGGGCTCTGAGCGTATTCCCGTGACACCTGGTTCTGTTGTGCGGTTTGAGCTCGGGGCCTGGTGCCCGCTCGCTGTCCACTGCCCACACGAGCAAGCACCTCCTTTCTGGGAGTGGTGAGTTTAGTGCCTCTCTCTCTCTCTCTCCCTCCCCAGAATGAAATGGATGACGTGCCCTTCTTTGACATCCAGCTGCCCTATGAGCTGGCGATCAACATCTTCCAGTACCTGGACAAGACGGACCTGGGCAGGTGTGCACAGGTGAGCTGCCATCAGCGTCCTCCGGGCAGGCTCCAGGCACCTGCAGTGACCGGCAGAAAGAATGGTGGCTTCCTGTCCAGCTCCAGCTGCGTGCGTGTGTGTGTCCTGTGTGTGTGAGACTGGGCTCTGGCAGGACCCGCCTGGGCACTGCATTGGGCTCTGGCAAGAGCTGTTACTGTCCTTGTGGCTTTTGACGCTGAGATACCAGCCCTTGGTTAGAGACACCAGCCCGAGAGTCAGCCTGGGGACAGCAACAGTGAGGTCACTTTCAGGGCTAGAGGCCACATGACCCTCATAACACCTGAGTGACTTGAGGCCACCCAGCCCAGCTCCAGGATTTGCAGACCCCCGCCTCGTGCTTACTCAGAGTCTCACCCAGGGAGCGGGAGGTGGGGGATAGTTCCCAGACCACAGGGACCCTCAGACTCATGCCCAATGGGGAGAAAATCACGCAGTGCATGGGGAAAGCCATATTCTGTGAGTGAGCAGACAGAAGACATGTCCTAGTGGGCGTCTCTCTCTTACACACACACACACACACACACACACACACACACACAGAAGGAAGGAAGGAGGGAAGGAGGAAGGGAGGGAGGAGGGAAGGGAAGGGAAGAAGGAAGGACAGACAAATGGACAAGTGAACACAGATGAGCCAGAGAACTAGCAGTGAGGCGAAGGCACTTGCTTTGCATGTGGTGGTCACCACAACTGTGGTTCAAACCCTACCCCTGCGTATGGCCCCCCAAGCACTGCCAAGAGTGGCCCCTGAGCACAGAGCCAGGTGTGGCCAGGGGAAAAACATCAAATGTGAAAAACAAGAAGAAGGCTGTTGGAAAGTGATGAAAACTAGTCAGATTTCTGCTCCAGAGCCGCTGCCTTTATGCCGAGACCACACAGGGTCCCGGCTTCCCTTCAGGTCCATTTCTATATTTTTCCTCTGCTCTCCTCCCTCTCCCTCCTCCTCTCCCTCCTCCTCCCCTTCGCTCCCCTCCTGCCCCAGTGCTCAGCCCCCCCATTCTGTGCCAGGGCTGGAGTCGCTGGCATTGCCTGGCCTTGCTGGGGCCCACCCAGGCCACCTGGGCAGTGCTGGGGGTCACCAGCGATGCACCTGCCAATGCATGGGGGGGGCAGTGCCAGAGGTCAGACCAGGATTGGCCACGGCCAGCTCCCGCCCCCTGGACTGTCTCTGCGGCCTTCTCTTGCTTTATGAAACATTCTGCTGAATGGCGGCTTTTTGGACTCCAGGAGCAGCTAGAAAGGGGGTTGGCGTTTGTGCCCGTCTCTGGGCTGCTCCTGGGAGTCACTTCCGGTGAAGCGCTCGGGCCACTCTGGTGCTGGGGTGTAGAGGGGATGAGGCGAGTTCGGGGGTCGAAGCTGGGGCCCCTGCATGCCGCGCTGCAGCCCTGAGTCCCCGCCCTGCCCCGTGTGCCGCACGCCAGCCCCTGAGCCTCCCTCGCCCAGCCCTGGCATTTCGTTGGGTTTGGGTCCCGGTTTCTGGGCCATACCTGGCTGTGTTCAGGGGCCACGCTGGGTGGTCCTTGGGAATTGTGCTGCATGTTCAGACGGCGTGCAAGACAAGCGCTCTGCCCCCTGTCGTCCTGGCCTTTGATTTTTATAATTGCGCATTACTACGGGGGGGGGGGGGGGTTGGGGACGGTCTGGCAAATAGATGCAGAATCTGGGTCGTTTTCGGGACTGACAGAAGACATTGTTCCAAGGCCAGAGTCCACTGAGCAGAAGCAGTGAGCCGGGCTCGGAGCCCCTGGGTCCCCTTCAGTGGGAGCACCGGTAGTGGCTCTCCTTTCCCCCAGGGACATCGGACTTGTTCCATTCTAACTTAACACGTTGGCTCTGCTCCCAAGAGTCGAAAACGGGTGCAGCGAAACGAGGCCGCCCTGGCTGGCTGCCGTCACTCCGGGCCCTGCACTGCGCCCGCTCACCCCGATAAGATCAGCCTCCTTGCTCCAGAGCTGCCGTGTGTGGAAGCTTTTCTCTCGACGCTGCTGTCCGCTCTCCTGCTCCGGAGAGGGCCAAGCGGCTCTCACAGCTGCCGTGGCCTCTTTTCATCCAGAGTGGCTATCAGTGGAAGATAGGATCGGGGGAGGGGGAGCAGAGAGGAATCTCCACCCGGACAATGGGCGGCATTGCAGGAGAGATTGGTTCTGCTGGTGAGATTACTCTGCAGGTGTGAGCGGTTTGACTCGCAAGACAGTGGCCCAATTGTCCGGCAGACCCCTCCCAGCTGGGGCCTGTTGGGGTTCTCCCTCCCCCACCCCGCCCGCTCGTGTTCCCCCTCAGTTTTAGCACCGCCCGAGCAAAGGGGCCCTTCTGATGTGCTCAGCGCCAGTGGGCACCGCCAGGACTTGGCCCATCCGGGCTTTTGCATGAAGAATGGCAGTGGATGACCGCAAGTGTGTGGGCTTGGCGTCATTTCTTTCAAATGAAACCACCAAAGCCGCCTTCAACTGCAGACGGCAAAGTGTGTGTGTGGGGGGGGGGGGGAAGGGGGGAGGCGGCGGAGTAGCAAGTTCACTTATTTCCAGTGGCTTATTTACTTATTTTTTTATCTTTTGCTTTTTGGGTTACACCCAGCAATGCTCAGGGCTCCCTCCTGGCTCTGCACTCAGGAATTACTCCTGGCGGTGGGTGGGGGACCATATGGGATGCTGGGATCGAACCCAGGTCAGCCGCGTGCAAAGCAAACACCCTCCCCGCTGGACTGTCAACTCCGGCCCCAGGCGTTTTTATTTTAAAACTGGGAGCAAGAGTCCTTGGACTGAGTGGAATGTGATTCTGCCTCTGAGGGGGCGCACCCTGCCCGCATCCCTTTCCCCTTTAATCTTCACCCCCTCGGGGTAGTGTGAGACCCGGCCAGCTGTCTGGCATTGGTGCTGCGAACTGGACGCGCCCTCGGAGAGAACCTGTTTGCTTAGATCTTTCTGCCAAATTGGTTCGCGGCTTGTCAGGAAGGAAGCCGGCTCGGGGCAGCCTGGGAGGCAGCCCTGGACGGACTCTGCTCAGGGCTGCTGGACAGGGACCCCTGCCTGTGAGGGGGCAGCAGAGACTCGCCACCCTCCCCACTGGAGTCCTTTCTCCCATGGACTGCTCACACTGACCTCGCCCGCGCCTCCCAGCAGGACTGTCCTCCAGAGGTCAGGGTCTCTGACATGTCTAGGGAACAGTGTGGATTCCAGATCCATAATATACAATACATGTAGTCAATGTATAAGTAAAGTAAAGTAAAGGCCCTCCCGTTGATCATCGATTTGCTCGAGCGGGCCCAGTAACGTCTCCATTGGAGACTTTGTTGTTACTGTGTCTGGCATATCGAATACTCTCGGTAGCTTGCCGGGCTCTCCGAGAGGGGCGGAGGAATCGAACTCGAGTCGACCATGTTGGCTGCATGCAAGGCAAATGGCCCTACCGCTGTGCTATCGCTCCAGCCCAGTCAATGTATAGTCATGTTAGAAATGTGATAGGTCATAAGCGCACTGGACTTCTAATCCAGAGGTTCTGGGTTCGAGTCCCGGCGGAGATGGTCACTCCCTTTTTGGGCTGGAGCGATAGCACAGTGGGTAGGGTGTCTGCCTTGCACATGGCTGACCTGGGTTCGATTTCTTCACCCCGCTCGGAGAGCCTGGCAAGCTACCAAGAGTATCTTGCCTGCACGGCAAAGCCTGGCCAAGCTACCCATGACGTATTTGATATGCCAAACACAGTAACAACAAGTCTCACAATTTGTTGTGAGACATTACTGGTGCCCATTCGAGCAAATAGATGAACAATGGGAGGACAGTGGCAGTGACAGTGACTTAAGGCCCATCTATATATAATAGGTGTATTATATAAAATATAACATATTACTTTTAATAATAAATATATTCCATTAATAATATATTTTATGTATGTATTTATATCATACATATGTATTTTGGTTAATAATATATTTTATGTATGTATTATATCATAAATCATCATGAGATACACAGTTACAAAGTTGTTCATGGTTGGTTTCAGTCATACAGTTTTCCACCACCCATCCCTCCACCAATGTCCATTTCCCACCACCAATGATTCCAGTGCCCCCCACCCCCAGTCTGCATATATAGTAGGTACTTTCTCTTTCTCTCTCTCTCCCCCCCCTTCCTCTCTCCTCTCTACTCTTCCCGGAGAATGGCTTTCCCATTTTGCTATTTACAATCTCATGCTTGTTTCTTTACTTAATTTTTAGTTGTGGGTCCATAGGACCCTGGCACTTTGAAGGAGGCTTTTTTTTTTTTTTTTTTTTGCTTTTTGGGTCACACCCGGCGATGCTCAGGGGTTGCTCCTGGCTCATGCACTCAGGAATTGCTCCTGGCGGTGCTCAGGGGACCATATGGGGTGCTGGGAATTGAACCTGTGTTGGTCATGTTGGCTGCGTGCAAGGCAAACGCCCTACCCGCTGTGCTATCACTCCAGCCCCAAAGGAGGCTATTTTTATCACTGGATAACAATGACAAAGTTGTCAGTTTCAGAATTATGACGTGGTTTGGTTTTTCTGAAAAGAGGAAGTCCGCTGTTTTATTACAGAATAGGTGATTCTGAGGGCTGGGGTTTAGGTGGTAACTAAGATTTATTTTAAATACTGTAGACATCGTTATCAATCCTTAGGAAGTAGCGGGGCCGAAGCAGTAGCACAGTGGGTAGGGCGCTTGCTTTGCACGCAGGTTACCTGGGTTGGGTCCTTGGTACCCCAAATATCCCCCGAGATTGCCAGGAGTGATCCCCGAGCACAGCTGGGTGTCTCCCCCAAGCAGCAGCAAAAACTCCTTGGATAGTAGAAGAAATCTGGGGGCGAGAGGGCCCACATTCCCATCCCCGCTTCCTTCCTGGGTGCACAGCGTCACGGTGCTTGGCTGCCGGGGGTTCCGGAGACCCGTTCACTTCACAGACTCTCGGCCTCTAGCCGTGGCTCTGTGTGACCAGCTCAGCCCACGGGAAGGGTGTCTGCGGCGTCAGCA